AAAGGTAACTACTAAACTGAGAATTACAGCTTCATGGACATATTAATGATAGTCAATCACAATAATAAAGGCTACATGGCATTGAATGCTTTCATCCAGTTGCAGGCACTGAGCTAGATGTGATGTGCAACAGTATTCATTTAGTCCCATAAAATCACTCAGAGGAAGAGATTATTATTTTGTGTTTAAAAAAAGAATAAACAACTAGAGAGTGAAGTAAGTTACCTGAGCCACACTGCACATAAATGGAAGGGTGGGGATTCCAACGTGAGTGGATTTGACTTAAAGTCTACTTAACTTCAATGCACAAAGAATGTTCCAAAGAATTTGGAATTCCTTCATGTTTATATATAAATTAAGTCATACTGTAAGCTGACAAAACTGTGTCAGAAAAATCAGTCATTTGTTATACCACATTCTTTAGATATTTAATTAAATTTGCACTTATTTGTGTTCACACTTGGAGGAAAAATTTATGTACATGTGTCATAAAATATTTTAAAACTTTTAAAATTATGACCTGCCTAGCTATTGATACACACATGCACACACACACACACACACACACACACACACACTTTTTGATGCTCCTTAATTTTGAGGGGGAAATGGTGCGGAGCAAGTTTTTGGTACAGAGGTTAGTTATAAACTTAGCAGAGGAACTCAGTTTCAGGGGGACTCGGTTTCAGTCCCCACTCCTGTTTCAACTTTCCCCAAATCCTTGAGGGTACATCTCATCAGTAAAAAACAAAACCAGAAAACTATTAATTAATTCAATTAGAAGCATCTTTACTTTGAAACTGTGTAAAATCCTACCCACTTATTTAACAATTTTATACTGACTATAATTTCAAGTTAATGGCCAAAGGAAATAGAAATAAAAAATAAAATTCTGCCTAATTCAAATTCAGATTTAAATATATTTTAAAAATATTCTGGCTGCTCAGAAAGCTCAGGTGATGGTAGAGTGCCGGAGTTGTGGCTCAGAGATGTTATGTCTAAGTTCACTGAGTAAGTCAGTGGCATAGTGGGAAACAAAATTCAGGACTCCTCATTTCCATTTTAGGGCCACATACTATTACAATACAGTGCTCAGATAAGAAGTCTACATTTAGCATTAGATCCAGAAAGTTTAAGGGAATGAAGGTAATTAGAAAATGCACATGGGAATATAGTTGGGCTGTTGTACTTTACATAGCTAACCACTATAGTTTTTTTAATCACACTGTAGAGTGGTTATTTATTTGAATCTCTCTCTTCCACTAGACTTGGAACTCCTATAAAGTAAGAATTGCCTCCTTTTTAATCTTTAGAGTTCATCATAATAGTGATAGATGAAGGTAAGGAAGGAAGTGGGAGAAGATGGTGGAAGGGAAGGAAAGAAAGAAGAAAAATTTGTAGAAAACTCCAAGAGAAATGACCTAAGATACAGAAGGAACAAGGTAGCAGAACACTGATATGAGTGACATAAAAACATTCCACCACGTGGACACGATAAAGAAAGATATGGTGAGGATAAACATGTTATAAAAAAGTATGCAACCTTAGTTTGGACAAAAAAATTATCCAAAATGTCAATTCATTCAAATTTGGGTTATAGCTATTTACCTAAATGAAGCCGAACTTATATAATTTAGAAAAATGACCTATGTAGAATTTTTCCCAGTTAAAATAGAGATGTCTCATGTAGAGTTAAAATAGAGATGTTTCATGTAGAAAGCAGAACTTTATCTAGACTGATATCCATGTATGACACATAAATGTTTCATTATTAGGGTAGGGATTGACTGATTTGCTGTTGACTCAATGGTTTATTGATACAAAAACAAAAACACCAGAAGTCCTAAAAATTTACTTGGAAAGAGACATCTGTTATTAGATTACTCTGATTTCTTCATCAAATCTTTCTAAATTAGGAATAACTCTACCTAAAAGTATCGCTTCCCCCAAACCTAAGAGTGTTCATGAAATACAATGTTTAGATAAGCATTCTACTTAGATTGCTTTCAGTAGTTAGCTTCCATTTAAACATCTGAAAGTCAAGCAATAGTGTAATATAACCTGCAGAACTACATGGTGCATAAGAAATGCAAATATTGTTTATGATGAAAACTGAGAAAAGCGATGCTCATGGCACACTGCCAAGTTTAATTTCCTGTCATGTCTTTGGCATGTAGTAAAAAGCCCCTTTGTCTCGATTTTCCAAGCAATTGTAAAAAATGTATGTTAATAAGCAAATAAAAATGATGTGAAAAGAATCAAAACAGCTTGTGTAGGACAACTCTAGATTTGCTTCAAATTGAGCAGCCTAATAAAAATAAATAGCAAATATCTCATTGAGCATCTTCTTTTGTGTAGAGCTACGGATACATGAAAATTCAGATTTATAAAAAGAGTTCACAGAGGGATGGGTAATTTTGCTTTTCCAAGACAGTTTTTTGCTCACAAGAGTTGCATTACATAATTTTTTTTAAAATAGCAAACTTGTGTAGTGCATTTAAAATAAGTTTAGTTGACAAAATTATGATGTAAGAAAACATTTTCACAAACATTACAGTTCCTTGGAAGGAAGACACACACACACACACACACACACACACACACACACACACAAACACACTGACATTTTATATAACCAAACATATTTGGAAGACAAAAAATACCATAAAGTATTTACAATCTCATTGGGCTGTATTATAAATATCCACAATGTTTTAACTCTCTTCTACTTGCTTAAGTAAGTAGTCTGTGATGAAAATAATTATTATTCTCAACATCATCATTATAAATAAAAATAGAGTGCTTACTTGTGTTTAACCTGTCCAGTGCTTTCCCTGCATTATCTCATTTAATCCTGTCAACCATGCTATAGCAGACTCTTGTTATCTCCATTTTAGATGTGGGAATCTTGAAAGATAAAAGGGCTAGGAAACCTTCCCAAGATCTCACAGCTTGTATGTGAGCCTCAGGAATTTCAGTCTATGTAGTTTGATGCTAATGCCTGTGATTTAACCCACAGGCTGTGCTGGTTCTCGTAACAATCCAGCCATAACAATCTTTTAAAAATATAAATCTTATCATGTCACTAACTGGCTTGAAACCCTCCAATGGCTTCCCATCTCACCCAGAATAAAACTCAAATGCTGGCCACCTCCTTCAAGGCCTACATAATCTGGCTACTGACCACTTTTGGAAATCATCAACTACTTTTGTTCTCCTTCATTGTGTCTAGACACTCTGACTTTTTTTGCTGCTCTTCTAAGACACTGAGCTGGCTTTGTACTTGCTAGCCCTCTGCCATGAACACTCTCCATCAGACGTTCATAGTATTTATTCCCCGCTTCTTTCAGGAGCCTACTCAAATGTCAACTCTTCAAAGGGGCCTTCCCTAATCACCTTACTAAAATAAAGCTCACTTGCCCCTCATTCTCACTATCTGTCCCTTTAATTTAATTTTTTATAGAACTTATCACTCTAACAATCACACTCTACAATTATACCGTATCCATTCAATTATTTAACGTCTGTTCCTTGGTGGGGCAGGACCTCACCGTTCACCTCTGCATCACTAGTGCCTGGAAAGGTAGCTGGCAAAAACCATGTGCTCAACAGGCTTTTGTGGAATGAATGAATAAAACATTAAGTATATGTGCATTTTTAATACAGAACGTTTAATATAGAAATTAAACACACTACCGTCAATGGATAGGAAAGAGTAATAAGTAATGATTAGAATTAACAACAAAAATAGAAGTGGTACAGAAGATACCTCTGTACTGCATATCACTTGGAAAGAGTCTGGTTTCACCTCTTTTGGAAGGCACAGGGTGTGTCATGGGGGTTCACTGTTTTAGGTGTTAACCAGACAAGTGGAGGTTGAGACAGGGTTAAGAGGTCTATGTGAGAACTAAAATAACAGCAACAAGGAGAATGTTTTGGCACAAATCTATCCTTTACCCCTGGAACTTTGGAACTTTGTTAAATTCCAGTGTAACCTCAGGGATATGGTCAGGTCTGAAATCTACCCCGAGATGCTGCAATTGTCCCACAATGTGCTCACATCTCAGACTTTCCTTTGAGAAGACTCTATCCCTATTTGGGGCCTAGAAATAACCCAACTTATACATGGTCAGTCCTATAAACTAATCTACAGCCAATCTAAGCACCGCAAAGGTCAAGCTGGAGTAAATCCTTAAAGCTCAGTCTCATTGCTTAACTTCTTGGGGGGAACCTGGAAAGTACAATTCTCAGGGGTAGCAAGTAAGCAGTGAGAGCCACTCATCTGCAGAGTCTGTTTAATGGTGTGTGTACATATGTTGGGTGGGAATTCTGAAGTTTAAATTCAGACTAGTCTGTGTAATATTACATTTTCCAAAGAACACAAATAGAAGGTCTGTTTATTAACCTGAATGAGAGAACTGTCTCTAAGACCCTTGAAGTATATTAATAAAGATAAGTGGGAATAACTTATCTTTATTAATATAGCAATGTAATAGTTTTTTGTTCTTTTATACTCACAATGACATTAACCAGAGTTTAATTTTGGATATAGGTACCGCAGACATAATGAAAGGAGGTAGATTTTTATAAAAATAAGTACATTTTAAAAAATATGAAATAGTGTTCTGATTGATGATATATATACTATGACTATATGAACAATGTTATAAACTGCTTATATGAATACTATAGAATAGTATACTGTAGAAGAGCATATAAAGGAAAATAAAATTTTAAATTAAAACAAAGAAACTCTCTTGCTTTGAGATTACATATATTATGTTTTATGGCAAAGTTGGGCATTTTCTTTAAAAATATACTGATAAACTTCTTATAATAGAAATCTAATGGGTAAAAAAAAATATAAGCAAAGTAGCAGTTAAAACTATGGCAAATTAATTAAGTCAAACAAGAACTAGCTTCTCCAGCATACAGTATGTAGAATTATGCTTTCTTAAACATGGTTAATAATTTTAAAATAAGAGATATATCCAACTTACTAAAGATTTATCTGGATAAACCCCAGCTCTTAGTAGAGATGCCTTCCAGCTGTCTACATCCTCCTGTGAATCACATGCCAGCTCGAGAAAGCGATAGTCTTTGTATACATTCCTGGAGTCAAAAAAAAAATCATGCTTTTAGTTTTGAACCAAATTCAAAATGATTTCATATCCCTGCAGATGATGATACAAATGACAGTCCAAATGAAGGGTTCTCTGACAGTCATTGAAGAAAAACAAAAACAATCTATTGCATTTCAAATAATTAGCAAATTCCTATATGTATGTATTATACAATTAAAAAACCCTCACATTAAAGAATTTAGAGTTATCTGTACTGCTAAGCAATAAGAAGGGAAGGATATAACAAATGTTCTCAGTATGACACACTGAGCGCCAACTGACAGGGAGTTGTTCTGAGGGCAATGGATTTGCTATTGTCTAGTAATCAGATCAACTTTTGAAACTAATTTACAAATCTAAATGGCTCATAAAACTTTAAAATTATGGCAATAATCTCAAAATCTAAAATATTATGCTGGATTCAAATCACAAATGCTCATCAATATTGTGAAAAGGAAAGAACATTAATATTTAACAGAGTAAAGTGCCTATGAAGTGCATATTGACAACTGGACAATACTATAATTTTATATTTCCTTTCTTAATAATAAAATAATACACAAGATGTAATAATGCCCATTTAGAATAATTTAGAAACTAGATAAAAGTATAAAAATGGATACAATCAACCATTTTCTACTACTTACAGATAAACCTATTTCTTTATATTCTTTTGTTCTACGCATTTTTCCACAGTTGAGTTTCTCTCTCTTTCTCACTCTCTCTCTCTCTATTTTGTGTCCTTTTCACTTACTATTGTATTATGGTCATATACTTATGCTATTACATCTTCATAAACATCAAATTATAATGTTATAATATTCATTAATATAAATGTATGATAATTTACTTGACCTCCTAATATTAGATAAATAATTTACTTTATTTGCAATCATAAATAAAGCTCAAATAAATATTTTTATCCATAAGCCTTTGTCTTTCTACTTTAATTTACTACTATTATTTTCTGAGGATAGATTCTTACAGATAGAGTTACAGAATCAAAGTTATAATCATTTTTGAAGACAATGATACACGTTCCAATCATCTTTCCAGAAAAGATAATCCAATTTAGACAGATACTAGCAGTGTACAAGATTAACAATCTTTTTCTCTTCTTTATCTCTTCCAAGGTGTTCTCATTCATGTCTAAGTGTTTCAATTTACACCTAACTCAGATGGCTTACATATTTTTTTTTTAATATTTATTTATTTATTTATTTATTTATTTATTTATGGCTGCATCGGGTCTTAGTTGAGGCACGCAGGATCTTTTGTTGTGGGATCTTTCCATGCGGCATCTTTTTTTGTTGTGGCGCACAGGCTTAGTTGCCCCGTGGCATGTGGGATCTTAGTTCCCCGACCAGGGATTGAACCCGCATCTCCTGCATTGGAAGGCGGATTCTTAACCACTGGAACATCAGAGAAGTCCCAGATGGCTTACATATTTACATCCCCTGTCCAGACCTGTCTGATTCATACTGCTTATTGACTTCTCCACTTGAGTATCTCAAAGGCACTGTGACATGGATGACTGAATTGGTGATTTCCAACTTGATGTTCTCATGTCATGCAGCATCAGTGTAAAGCAGATACTATGGAGGTATCTTAGACATCGTCCACACTCTCATACACCTCCTTACATTTTACCACTTAAAAGTGTACTTCCTGTATATTGACCATCATGTTATTATCTCTCTTTTGGGTTATTACAACATCTCTTTAGTCTTGCAGCATCACACGACCACTTTAAATTTGCTCTCTACACGGAATCCTTATTATCTTCTGAAAATGTGAATCAGATATTCACATAAATATACCAGTTAAAACCCCTGGTATAAAACACTGCAATACTACATGCTTTTAGGAAAAGACCACACTCACTATGATGGCCTACAAAGCCCTGCACAGTCTGGCCCAACATTACCTTACTCTCTAGCTTCTTTTCATACTCTGTTTTCTCTTGATTTTTTTTTTGTTTTTTTTTGTTTTTTTGCGGTACGCTGGCCTCTCACTGTTGTGGCCTCTCCCATTGCTGAGCACAGACTCCGGACGCGCAGGCTCAGCGGCCATGGCTCAGGGGCCCAGCGGCTCTGCGGCATGTGGGATCTTCCCAGACTGGGGCACGAACCCGCGTCCTCTACATCGGCAGATGGACTCTCAACCACTGCACCACCAGGGAAGCCCTCCCTTGATTTTTAAGCCACACTGGCCTTTTACTTCTTCATATATGCCATGCTTACTCCCGAAGTCTCTGAATATACTGCTTTCTCTGTCTGCAGGTACCTGTCCTTCCCTCATTGCACAGTTAACTCCTGTGCCTTCCCACACTCATGGGACCAGTCCACTTAAAGTACCCAGCAGTTGCACGTGTGCCACAATGAACAAAGGAAAATAAAAGGACATCCAAAGAGGTCTAATAGCCAGAGAGACAAAGAATAAAGAAGGCAATCAGAGCAGTCTATCAAAAAAAGAGAAAGGTTGGGGGTAGCAAAAGAATAATAAGTATTTGAAGAGGTACAAAAGGGCATTAAAGAAGACTTATAGAACTAAGAAAAATAAGATTTTTAAGTTAATATATTGAGTAGATAAGTTGAAGGAAAGGGTGATCAATCTTGAGATTAGAATTAGGAGATGTTAAGATCCAGTAGGAGAATTAGAAAAATATAAAGAGAGAAGTGTGGAGGAAAGACCCAGAACATCTAACCTGTAAATAATAGGAGTTCCAGAAAAAGAAAAGGAAGATGGGAGGAGAAAAATAATTATGAAAAAGAAACTATTTTTTAAAAAAGAAACGTGGGCTTCCCTGGTGGCGCAGTGGTTGAGAGTCCACCTACCGATGCAGCGGACACGGGTTCGTGCCCCGGTCTGGGAAGATCTCACATGCTGCGGAGCGGCATTGAAAGTGCTGTTTCAGGTAGAATTGATGAGGAAAATTACCACATACACACACGCTAGTATAAATCTTGAGCTCTGAGATAAAGAAAATTCTTCTGTAAAGAAAGAGAAAGTTGTTTACAAAGAAAAAAGAATTAGACTGGCATGGACTGAACATTCAAAAGGTAGAAGGCAATGAAATAGTATTCATGGATTCTTAAGAGGACTTCAGACTCAGAGTCCCACATCCAGCCAGGTTATCACCATATACCCAATCTGAGGGAGATGCTAAGGCAGTATTAGGATTACAACAACACTAAATGAACCTGCAGAGAGTGTTCAAGGGTGAAGAAAAACTGAGAGAAGAGAAAACAGTGGTGAGCAACAAAATTCACCATATCCATAGAGTCAAATCAAAATAAATAATGATAGATCATCTAAGAATTGCAATATAAGGACTAAAGAAGTCTTAAAGAAGAAGAGACACATTGCAACAGAAATTCAAATAGTCTAAAACTCAGGGGAGGGTGGAAGGAAAAAAAGATGCTCACAAGTTCTCCTCTGATGGGTATAGGAGTGAAGAGTAGGGAAGCAAAGGGATCCCAGAGTTCTCATATTGTTGGAAGAAGTGGGCGAGGAGAGAAGTAGGAGAAGAAAGTGTCTTGGGAGAGAAATATTTGATAATTTGCCTCATGGAATAATAGGATTATGTATTGATGAGTGTAAATATTAATAAAATAAAAAGTACAGAACTCCCAAATTAAAAAAGAAAAAATAAAGAAAATTAATAGCCTATTGATCAAATCAACAAAAAATTAAGAAAAGAAACAACAAAATAAAATAGGAAATTTTAATGATAGGAATAAAATCAAGTATATTAATTATTAAATTAATAAAAGTGAACTGAATTCTCTCAGCTAAACAGTTAATTTAAGTTAAAAAAATAAAACCCAGTTATATGTTATTTGCAAAAATAAAGGAACAGGTAAAGATATATCAGACAAATACAAAACAAAGAAATAAAAATGCATGAATGGCAATATTAATATAGGCAAGATAGAATTTAAAAGTACTGAGCAGGATAAACAATTTAAAAGCACTAAATAGAACAAATAGAAATATTATATAATGATATAAAGTACAATTTATGAAGACTGGAAAATACTTATAAACCTGTTTTCACCAAATAATGTAATAGACAAGTAAATGAAGCAAATGTTACTTAAAAATGTAGGATAAACTTGACATAACTATTGCATATAATTAATTAAAATATAAATATGGGAAGTTTTTAATACGGCATTTTTCAAATTAGATATAGTAGACGAAAAATAAGCACATAAAAGAAATAAAGAGTACAACAAGAAAAAAAAAAAAGAGTACAACAGATGAAGTAAATTTAATAGATTCCTTTACCACTTAAATAGGAGATAAAGATGTTTTCACCATCAACAAACCATTTACAAAAATCTGTCATATATTTGGATCTGCACACATACATAATATCAGCTTTAAGAAATTTTAAAAAAGAGAGATTTTATGAATCCCATTCTTTGGTCACAAAACAAAAAAAAAAAAGAAAAAGAAAAAATGAATTTCTAACAAAAAGACTCAAAAAGAAAATAAAAAGCAAACACACTCCTCGATAATCCTTGTATTACAGAAGAAACCAAAACAAAATTGTAAATTATTTAGAAAGCAATAAAAATATGTAAACACATCATATCCAACCAGTGGAGCACAGCAAAGGCTATAGGAAAACTTATGGCTTTAAATATGTTCATCATTTAGAGAAAAAATTTTAAAAGTTAATATTCATCTATAGAAAGTGTTAAATTAGGATAAAAAAACAAAATAAGCCAAGAAAGGAAATTAACATAGATTAAACCAAAACTAATGAAATAGGAAATATTAAGATAATATAAAGGATAAAGACATCCATGAGTATTTTCCCTTTAGTAATAGGTAATAAATTTATAATCCTAATTAGGGGAGAAGACAAAAGTATGCAGGATCACAAATGAGACAGGATAGAATATATACCCACAAATATATAGGCGATTGAGAAAATTACAATCAAATACTTTATGCAGTCTTATGCCAAAACTAAGA